AGATATATCAATTCTTGAAAATTGGATTTTTGACCTATGAACAGTGATATGATAAAATGGGTGTTAAACCCGCGTCGTTATTTATTTTTGTTTTCTTTTCTTTTTTTTTTCATGCAAAAATTTACAAATATTTATATATGAAAATATCAAAAAATACCATAAAAAATTAGCTGAGTACCCCTGTATAGGCAAAAGACTGAAATACCCTCGGATTTATCGAAAATTTACGAAAATGCCACTGGACCCGCGGTTACTGTTCACGGGCGAAAGTTTCCGGCGATTTTCCGGAAAAAGATAGTCGATTCTGGTAGATCTGAGGACAAGGATTCTGATGGTGGTGGTCTCGTTGTCCGTTGATGGCTGAGGAGGGAGAATCGACAACTTGAAGGTCGATTGGTCGATGTCGGTCGCGGCCTTTTTCCGGCCAAATTAGCCGGTGCAAAAGTGTGAAAAGGCCGGGGTTTGCTCAGGGTGAGGCGATGCACAATTCTGTGGTGGTTTCAAGGCTTGAGATGACCGGAAATCGTAGATCAGCGGAGAGAGAGAGAATCGCCGGCAAGAGGAGAGAGAAGCTCTGGGTTGTGCTACGGTGTGAACGAGTGTATGGGGCGCTCGTGCGTCTGAAGGCTGTGAACCGTAGGAGCTCGGATGAACAGATCGTGCGGCTGTGATTCGTTTGATCTCCAAGTTGATCATGCGGTCAGGATTGAATGGGCTACGATCTGGTGTGGCGCGGTGTACCAAGTGCTCGGTATACCTGCTGACGCGGCGCAACCAGATCGAAGGGCAGATTATTTGAACGGCTGAGATTGATTTGGGTTTAAGCTGGTGTGGTAAAGCGTATTGTATCCTAAGAAATCAAAGGCTCAGATCTAAATACTATTAGATCTAACGGTGAGATAGTTTTGGTATTTTTTAATTTATTAAAAAAAAAATTTAATATCTTTCTAGGGTGCAGAAAAAGTATAAAAAAAATAAATAGTACCCATAACCCGAACAGTAATTCCGAATTCATGCAGAATGAATTTTTTATCTTTTTTCCTCCCTCTGTCTTGAATTCATTCGCTATTTATAGCCAATGAATTCAGACAACAATTCACGGATTGTTAAGATTTTCAATTTCCATCGATTACTATTTGTCTTATTATATATAATAATACTAAATAATAATATAATAATACTAAATAATAATAATAATATTTATTTATAGGGGTAAAAATTAAAAATTCAAATAAGTATTATAAAAAGTTTTTCATCCGCTAAAAATTAATTTTAAATTACAAAAAAAACTTTTTTACACGGGTATCAACTCGGTGGACCGAGTTTTTTGACCCAAAAATACCAGTTTTGACAAAAAAAGTCCGAAACTCATTTTTTATCGCGGTCGGCATGGTGGGACCCGTATTAACCCGGTGGACTCGGTTTTGACCGAAAATGACGGTTTTGACCCGAAACAGCCCGAAACTCATTTTTCATCCCGGTCGACATGGTGGGACCCATATTGACCCGGTGGACTCGGTTTTGACCCGAAACAGCTCGAAACTCATTTTTCATCCCGGTCAACATGGTGGGACCAGCATTGACCCGGTGGACTCGGTTTTGACCGAAAATGACAGTTTTGACCCGAAACAGCCCGAAACTCATTTTTCATTGCGGTCGACATGGTGGGACCCGTATTGACCCGATGACTCGGTTTTGACAGAAAATGACGGTTTTGACCCGAAACGTCCTGAAACTCATTTTTCATCCCGGTCGACATCGTTTAACCCGTATTGACCTGGTGGACTCGGTTTTGACAGAAAATATATTTTAAACTCTTTTTTTTCTTTTTTTATTTATTATATTTTTTTGTCATGAATAATAAGATAAAATAACATTCCTAAAAAATTTTAGTGAATCCAAAATTGGGTTACAACACCTATAAAAGGGCACCAAGAGAAAGAGAGCAAGATGTGAAGAGGATTGTGAGAATGTGAAGAAAATAGAGAGAAAGAGAGAGCTGCAAATGTTCGAACAAATGACTTCCCAAGTCTACGAAGAAAAAAAGCAAAGTAGCTTACACTACAAGCTGGAGGAACACCCCGTTCCACAAGCTTGAAGAAAAACATTAACAGACTAACGAAAATAATTATGGGTCCCACGATCAAATCAATTGCTCAAACAGTAATCACAATTTATTTTATGTTATAGAGTTTATGTTGGAAAATAATTTTAATATTAAAAATAATTAGGGTTTTTTTTTATTTGACTTTAAATATGTCAATTAATCATGTTTTAGATAATGTTTTCATCAAATAATTCAATATTACAGGATTAAGTTTAGTTAATCAAGTAATTTCACATATAGATAAATTTAACATAAAACTTTTTTTTTTGGCAAGCCATTGATATTGTCTTTTGTTTTCAATTTTGTTGGCCCACGCGGTGTCTATGATGGTCATCTCTGCCCTAACCTTCTTCATTCAAACACATCAATAATATTTTAATCAATGTATATTTTTCTTCTTTCGTAGTTGTATAAATATATTTATAAAAAAGAAAATGAATTTGTTTTGAATGGACTAATATATATAATTCAGATTAAGAATCCAAGAATAATTAATATGGAAGTAAATCAGCCTAACAGATATTTCTTTCTTCAACCAAATTAGTAACAATTGATGATGTCGATAATATATTGGGAATCTTGACCGACTTCACAAGTCTACGGAGAAAAAGAAGTGCAAGTGGATGGGGAAGCTACCGGGAAATCACTTCATTCCATGAAAAATGTTGAGGAAGAAATTTTTGTATTCCACAAGATCAAATCAATTGTTCAGAACACATGACTTTCCATGTCTATATATGAAGAAAAACCAGAGTAGTGTACACAACAAGTGTTAGGTTGGTTAGCATTTCATGTGCAACAAATGGATGACACCAATCATTGACTATTGGTAGCCACCATTGTTGAATGAGATAGAGTTGGTGGCCACAATTGTTGAATGAGCTAGAGTTGGTAGCCACCAAATGTTGACAACAAACCAAGAATAGCCTCCATGAATGCCTATAAATAGAGGCATATGTAAGAGAGCAAAGTGAGAGAGAAAGAAAAGAGCCAAAGATGTGAGAAATGTAGGAGAGAGTAGGCTGCCATTGCAGCACTAAAAATAGAGAAATAGAGTGAGGTTGAGAGTTGTGAAAAAAGGGACGATTCCTCCTCCTCTATTGTTGTAAATCTTGTACTATCCCTACATAATGTAATGGCTTCTCCCGTGGATGTAGGCGGTTTTGCCGAACCACGTTAAATATTGTGTCAGTGTGCTTGGCCTCCTATGAGCAAATATCAGTACATCACCGGTCGGAATTCACAATAATTGGTATCAGAGCTCAAGGTTTAAAGTGGTGTTTGATTTTGCTCAAAAATGAAAGTTGTCAAAATTGTGTTTTGACCATACCACTATGTAGAGGAGGAAAAGACGAAGCCACTGGTGAAAACCACGTCGAAATCGGACGTCTGAAACCGTCGCACGAGCCGGCGGGGTGACTGTCCACTTCCTCAGCCACGTCAGCAATTCTGCACAGTCATCAGGCACGTCACCTGACATATCAGTACTCTGACCAGTCAAACCACCACGTCAGCAGCGAATGGTTATATATACAAAAAGACAGTACGATGGATAGATATGGCCTAAGAAGTTCTAGCTAGGAGATTGGGTTTTAAGTGGAACCGTTAAATATTGAGATACTCAGATAATGATTGTCGCACTTGAAATATCCATTTGAGGGGGTGTTATAAGCCTTGATGTGAGGCTTAATGAATCATTTCGGACCGAGCATGGTTGATATGCTCGAAGGGGAATGTTGTTCTAGAGACAAGCGTTAACTCTATTCAGATGTGATGTGACAGACCATCTGGTTATAGTGATCCTTTTGTGTGAGAAAAGGTGTGCTTTGGTTACTCTGATGATTGAAAGGTTTGGCAAGTACCTGTAAACTTGGCCAAAGATGCTCTCAAAATGGAAAGCTTGGAAGAGCTGCAAGATGCAAGCTTATGTTGAAGAAGCAAGAGGACAGTTGCCCCACATGAATGGCAAAGGGGGTGATTGTTAGGTTGGTTGCCATTTCATGTGCAACAAATGGATGGCCGAATGCACATATGACATAACAAACAACAATATTCTACGTAGTACTTCATAGAATTATCCAAGATGATGATGAAAAAAATGGGGGCTTGGATGTTGCTAGCATTATTGACTTTGGTTGGCGACTGGTGTGGTCGTTGTTATGGGTGTTTCGAGGATGAGAGAATTGGTCTCTTAGAGATCAAAGCTTTGATCGACCCAAATGACCTTTCCTTGGGAGATTGGGTGGAGTACAGTAGTAATTGTTGTGAGTGGTCTCGGATCGAGTGTGATAACACTACAAGGCGAGTGATCCAACTCTTTCTTTTTGAAGCATGGGATCAGAGCTTGGGGGATGGGGTTCTCAACGCATCTTTGTTTCTGCCTTTTAAGGAATTGCAACGTCTTGATTTGAGTTATAATGGACTGGTTGGTTGCTCTGAGAATCAAGGTCGGTTCAATGCTTCTGTTCTTGCAGTCGTAAAGTAAATTCATATCATTGTGTGAATCTTATACTGAGATTACGCTGATGAAGGGGCTAGCTGGTGTTTAATGTCAATTATCTTGCTTTGATGTGTTTCTCTTCCAGGCTTCGAAGTCCTATCATCAAAACTGAGGAAACTGGAGGGACTTGACCTAAGGGAGAACCGATTTAATGATGATAAAAGCATTTTATCATGCTTCAATGGGCTTTCATCTCTCAAGTCTTTGTATCTGTCAGCCAATGAGGAGATCACAGGATCAGGTAGCTTGGATGGTGACCGTTTAATTATATAGCTTTGAAAAATTTTCTTTTCATATGTAATTCTCATATGATTTAGCTTCTATGCGTTTATTTCCTTCCAGTATGCTTAATTTGGAGAGACATCATGCAGGTCTCAAAGTCTTGTCATCGAGGTTGAAAAAGCTGGAGAACCTTGTCCTACGTGGGAATCAGTGCAACGATAGCATTTTTTCATCTCGAAGTGGGTTTTCATCTCTCAAGTCTTTCTATCTGTCAGGCAATCAGCTGACAGGATCAGGGAGCTTCGATGGTCACCGTTTAATTATTTAGCTCTGAAACATTTTCTTTTCTCCTTCGCATATGATTTAGCTTCTATGCGTTTATTTCCTTCCAGTATGCTTAATTTTGAGAAACATCATGCAGGTCTCAAAGTCTTGTCATCAAGGTTGAAAAAGCTGGAGAACCTTGACCTACGTGGGAATCAGTGCAACGATAGCATTTTTTCATCTCTAAGTGGGTTTTCATCTCTCAAGTCTTTGGACCTGTCAGACAATCAGCTGACAGGATCAGGTAGCTTCGATGGTGACCGTTTAATTATTTAGCTTTGAAACATTTTCTTTTCTCCTTCTCATATGATTTAGCTTCTATGCGTTTATTTCCTTCCAGTATGCTTAATTTTGAGAGACATCATGCAGGTCTCAAAGTCCTGTCATCAAGGTTGAAAAAGCTGGAGAACCTTGACCTATTTGGGAATCAATGCAACGATAGCATCTTTTCATCTCTAAGTGGGTTTTCATCTCTCAAGTCTTTGGATCTGTCAGGCAATCTGCTGACAGGATCATCTACTGGTATCAATAGTAAGTTGCATTCTCTTAAGAAAATTGAGGACTTTATATCTACTTAGTAATTAATGATAGCATTAATTTCATCATGTTTGACTGAGCTTTCATCTCTAAAGATTTATATATAAATTGTTTTTCTAATAAGACCGGAAGAGATCAAAATTAGGATGATTAAAGGTATATATTGTTACAGCTGTTATTATGGTCACTGTTAGTGCAGATTAATTAGGGTAGCTGGCAGATGCATGGACACGTGTTAGAAGTTGTTAAGAGACGGTTAGAGTTAGTTAACAATATAATAAATCGTGTAATGCATGTGGGGAAGTTGTAAATGGATTACGCACGCAAGAAATAACAGAGTCATTCCTCTGTTTTCCTTCTGATTAACAGATGATTATATTACAATACACAAAATGGATACTTCCACTCTATCCTTCTGACAATCTTCTTTCAGGTTTTCAAGTGCTAGCTTCAGGGTTGAGGAATTTGGAGGAACTTTATCTGAGTGACAATAAATTGAACGACAGCGTTTTATCATCTCTCAGTGGATTTTCAACTCTCAAATCTCTAGATCTGTCAAGCAATAGGTTCACAGGATCAACTGGTCTCAATGGTAAAGTTGTAAATCATTCCTACCTCGGATGGCATTCCCTAGTGAGGTTTAATAATTACACGTGTATTAACCCCTAAGTAATTGTTTGGATGAAGCCTTAAAAAGGGTTTATATAATTAATTCTTTAACGAGTGAAATAATTTGAAACTTACATCTACACGCTATTAACTTTTGTTCAATTTTTTAATTTTTTTTAAAAATAAATGAAGGTGAATATTTAATTAATAAAATTTTAATATCATATTAAAAAATTATTTTAATTTAAAAACTTATGCTATGTCTTGTATATTTACTCTAATATTATAAATTATTGAATTATTGTAAATAATCATTATTTATTGTTAATTATCTCTATCACAGGTTTAAGGAAATTAGAAATCTTGTATCTGGAATCGTCTGACTTCAAGGAAAGCATTTTGATAGAGTCATTGGGAGCGTTGCCATCCCTCAAGACCTTACATGCCAGTTCTAGTACATTTAAACACTTTGGGAAAGGTCAGTGACAGTTTTGGTGCCTAAAACAATATGATATTTATAATATATTGATGGATTTATTTGATCTGTTCCACAGGGTTGTCTAATTCGTCTAGCCTTGAAGAAGTGTTCCTCGGTTCTTCTTCTCTCCCAGCAGGCTTTCTTAGGAACATTGGACACTGGTCTACTCTTAAAGTCCTATCATTGCCCGGAGTTGACCTCCGTAGCACCCTACCTGCTGAAGGTAATTCTACAAATGAACAGTTATAAGAGTATTGAAATCCAAATAACAGCTGTTCACTAGATATTTGTGTTATATCTATGTTTTATTAAACTAGAAGTTTACTCAATCACTAAAATTTCTGAGTCTTAAATTAAGGGTAGCTGGCAGATGCATGGAGTCAGTTAGAGTTAGTCAACAATAGAATAAACCATCCCTCCTCTTAACAGAATGTGGGGAAGTATATATATATATATATATATATAATGGTAGGAGGATTACGCACGCAAGAAATAACAGAATCATCCTCCTCTTAACAACTTAATTAAGGCATACAACCATCCCTCAAGACCCTTTCTCTCAAGGATACTGCTTAATCAGTGTTTAGTTTCTTATAATCTTAATTACTAATATTGAATGGAATGGTTACTATTTTCATCATACCTTTTCTTCTTTCTTTTTCACAGGAACTTTCTTCAATTCGAGCACCCTTGAAGAATTGTATCTAGATTATATTTCTCTCCCATTAAACTTTCTCCAGAACATCGGAGCATTGCCCGCTCTTAAAGAATTGCATGCTGGTTACTGTGACCTCAATGGCACCCTGCCCGCTCAAGGTAAATTAACAACTCTCCATCCGCTCAAGATTCTTTCAACACTATATATTTTGACTATTTCCAGATAAATTGTATAGGTTGGTGTCAATTGAAGGCTTACTCCTAACTTTACGCTACATTTAGCAAAGGATAAAATCTAGGGTTTCTCAATCTCTAAAATTTCTCCTTCCTAGAAAACTTTTAATTAAAAAAATTATGGATATCAAAAATCTAAATGACCAATCTCTAATATATATATATATAACAAAGAAAGCTGTTTAAATATAATCTAAAACCGACCTAGCTATTGAAACAAAAATCAACAAAAACTTTAAAACCGTACTTAGCAATTACATAATTGATATATTCCTATTCCCTTAACAATGAACATATGGATATATTCTACAGGCTGGTGTGAACTGAAGAATCTTGAACATCTACGTCTCTCCGGAAACAATCTAAAGGGCGTACTCCCTCCTTGTTTGGGAAATCTATCATCTCTACGATCCTTGGATTTATCTCACAACCAATTGGAGGGAAATATTGCCTCTAGTCACCTTTCCCATCTTACGCAGCTTAGATACCTCAAAGTTTCAAATAACTACTTTCAAGTTCCAATATCATTTGGTTCATTTATGAGCCTCTCCAACCTCAAGTTCATTGAATGCGATAACAATGAGCTAATAGCTGCACCCAGTTTTCAGCCTTTAGTTCCAAAGTTCCAGCTTCTTTTCTTTAGTGCTTCAAACTGTACTCCAAAACCACTCGAGGCTGGATTTCCAAACTTCCTGCGTAGCCAACATGATTTGGTGTTTGTTGATCTATCCCACAACAAATTCGTTGGACAACCTTTCCCATCTTGGCTGTTTGAGAATAATACAAAGTTAGATCGACTATATTTGAGAGACACCTCATTTATAGGCGGTCCTTTGCAGCTGCCACAACATCCAACACCCAACCTTCAGACAGTAGATATATCTGGCAACAACATACATGGTCAAGTTGCAAGAAACATATGTTCGATTTTTCCACGTTTGAAGAACTTCATGATGGCTAACAACAACCTTACTGGTTGTATTCCTCCTTGTTTTGGGAATATGAGCTCTCTCAAATACTTGGATCTTTCCAACAATCACATGTCTTGTGAACTGCTTGAGCATAATTTGCCAACAGTAGGCTCCTCGTTGTGGTTTTTGAAGCTGTCCAATAACAATTTCACAGGGCGATTACCACTCTCTGTGTTCAACATGAGTGGCCTAGAGTACCTCTTTCTCGATGGAAACAAATTTGCAGGACAAGTATCGGGTACCTTTTCTCTTGCATCATCATTTTCGTGGTTTGATATCAGTAACAATCTTTTGTCGGGCATGCTTCCAAGGGGAATTGGGAACTCGTCACTAAACCGCTTTGATCTGGCAATTGATTTGTCCAGAAATCAGTTTGAAGGTACCATTCCAATAGAATATTTCAATTCTTCAGCGCTTGAATTTTTAGATCTTTCTGAAAACAATCTGTGTGGGACATTACCGTTGGGCTTCAATGCAACACATTTACGCTATGTCCACCTATACGGAAATAGATTGAGCGGTCCACTGCCATACGATTTTTATAATCTCTCTTCGTTGGTGACATTAGATCTCGGCGATAACAACTTAACTGGGCCCATTCCAAATTGGATTGATAGCCTTTCGGAATTGAGCATTTTTGTTCTCAAATCTAATCAATTCAATGGGAAACTTCCTCATCAGTTATGCTTGTTAAGAAAATTAAGCATATTGGATCTTTCAGAAAATAACTTTTCTGGTCCGTTACCCTCATGTTTGAGCAATTTAAATTTTACGGCATCAGATGAAAAATCTCTGGCCCCCAGCGGCGGGGCGTCACAAGATGGTGGAATCGAGGAAGAAATATCTGCATCCATAGGGGTAAGAGACTTGGAGAACGAAGGTTTTAATCGTTATGACAAAACTTTGTGGCCAGAGATTGACGTAAAAATAGCTGTAGAGCTTACAGCAAAGAAAAATTTCTACACTTACGAAGGCGATATCCTTCGTTACATGTCTGTTATGGATCTTTCTTGTAACAGATTCACTGGAGAAATCCCGACAGAATGGGGAAACTTAAGTGGGATATATTCTCTAAATCTGTCACAAAATAATCTCACTGGATTGATCCCTCCATCTTTCTCTAATCTGAAGCAGATAGAGAGCTTGGATCTCTCTCACAACAACTTGAATGGGAGAATTCCTGCACAACTCGTTGAACTGACCTTTCTATCTGTTTTCAACGTGTCGTACAATAATTTGTCAGGAAGAACACCGGAGATGAAAAATCAATTTGGTACCTTTGATGAAAGCAGTTATAAAGGGAATCCTCTTCTTTGTGGACTTCCATTGCAAAACAGCTGCGACAAAACAGAATCACCATCAGCGAGAGTGCCTAACGATTTCAATGGAGATGGTGGCTTCATAGACATGGACACTTTCTATGCCAGCTTTGGTGCGTGTTACATAACTGTGGTGTTGACAATTGCAGCAGTACTGTGCATAATTCCGCATTGGCGACGCAGGTGGTTTTACTTCATTGAAGAATGCATCGACACTTGCTACTGCTTTTTGGCTATAAACTTTCCCAAGTTGTCCAGATTCAGAAGGTGATTGGATCTTGTCAGGAGCGTGGGGGCTGCTTTCTGAATTTGTTGTAATCCTCTGTGGAGAAGCAGTCGCATTCCAAATCAATGGTTGCTCACTGCATGTTTAGCAATTTGCCAGTGAGAAGTGATCCGTGGAAGTGTTTTTGTTGCTTAGCCTTTCTGTTTTGATGTGACTTGTGTTTGTCCTTGTGCTTGTATCAGTAATTGTTTGTTTCTTTGTTATGTCTTAATTTTGTTGAGCAACCAACGAATATTTCTTGGCTTCTTGTGATTACTATATCCCTAATAATATGGAATTTATTCACAATTGTAATAGTTTACAGTATCGTATTTTCTCAATTAAAAAAATAATTGATAGAACCGAAGGATCATACCAGCAAGGTGGAATGTGGTAAAGCAAAAATTTTGTTTGCTGAAAGAACATAAGTCTAAACTTAAAACAAGGCAATATTTTATTTATTTATTGAATAATCAGTATTTATCTATTTTGGCAATTTTCTCAGCCCTAGCTATTAAAGCCTTACTTGTGGGCTATTTTGAACATCAAGAGTTTATTTCAGATTTTTCTCTCCTGTTGGGTCTCTTTCAAGCCCATTTTGCACTTAATTTTGAATTCTTTTTAATTAAATCGGTTTTAAACTTTTATATCAACAATTGGAGTATTGTTTTAAGATTAGATGATTTAATTGTAATTTTTCTGAGAGTTGTTTTTCTTTATTCCTCTATAATTTCAAGGATATAGGAGAACCCTAATTCATTCGCCCCTCATTAAATTCAATTTGGCTAGTAATGGTACAAGGAAACGAAAAGGTTGTTAGAAAAATTAAGAATTTTGAACATTTCGTTTTAAAATGGTGACTACTTCTTAATTTCAAATTGTTCAATCTTCTATTAACTGTCTGCTTCTTATGATTTCTACTACTGTGACGATCAAGCTTAATCATACAAATTACCTATTTCAATCTTATGTTTGGCTCCTCCAAGCCTGCAATTGAGAGGGAATGTAAAGATATCAAAAGCTTTAGTCCTACCACATGTCAAAAGATTAAAGAATGAAATGGTTAGAATGTTGTTAGTAACTGTTAATCTTATTTGTTAGTTAAAAGAATCAGTTAATATTATTTAGTAAAGAATAAATAACATGAATAAGCTTCCTACTGTAGCAATATATAAACCAAGCTATTGAGAGCATTGAATTTAGATCGAGCTCCCCTTTCCAGCTTCCTACCTGAATTGGTTGAAATGATTCATTTGAGATACTTAAGTTTGAGATGGACCATGATAAGTGAGCTTTCAGAGTCCATAAGGAAGCTCAAGTACTTGGAAATACTTGATTTGAAAGGGAGTCTTGAATCTTCTTTGCCTGCTGGGATCACACAATTGACATGTCTTTGCCAGCTCCGTAACTATCGACATAGTTTCCAATCATCATCGTTCTTCCTAGACTCTCATGGAATGAGAGTTCCAACAGGAATAGAAAGATTGAGGAGCCAGCATAAATGGGGAATCATTGAAGTGAATGAAGATAATGAGTTAGTCAAGGAGCTGAGAAAGCTAACTTAGTTGAGAAGGGAATGGATCTTTGTTATACTTTGTGTTGCTTCTCATTTTTTTATCCTCACACAAAAAAAATACAAAGAAATAAAAAAATATTATCAGAAGAAAAAAAAAATATATAGAAGTAAAACAAAGATATAGGGACGCCCAAAAAATGATCAAAGATTAGTTGTGGAAGTTCAAAAATATAAAAATTAAAATTGAACAATATGTTTTCAATTTAATTGGAGGAAGAAAAGTTTAAAATCAGACGTTTAAAGACTCAATTAGATTTTGTTGAAAGATTAATTGAGTTTATGAAGGGTTAAATTGCAAAAAAAATAATTTTTAAGTCAATTTTACCTTTAATTTGAAGAAATTAAAGTTTGGAGGTCGTATTACAATTTTTAAGAGTTAATTTGGTCAAATCAATGACTTAATTGCATAAACATTGAAGTTTGATGGCACTTAGGGACTTGATTGAAAAAAACCAAAACTAAGGACCAAACTAGAAAAGACACGTAAATATAGGGGATGGAATTGACCAAATCAGGGTTAAATTGAAGAAATTGAAAGTTTGTTGATCAATTAAGGGTTAAAATACACCAATTCAAAACCAAGAACCAAAGTGAAAAGAGTAGTCAATTTCAGGGCTAGCTTTTGAATTTGGCAGAGATGTAATTGAATTGATTCTTAAAATCAAAATATCAATTGAGGGCTTGATTGAATAAGTTGAAAATTAAGGACTGATTTGGGAACAAAAGCTTTCTAGCGCCATTTTCTTTTAAATGAAACGATGAGTTTCATTCAAAACAACATCACTTCATTCACT